TAGAGGGTCAACTAGGTCTTTACCCTATAAATTATGATATATGCTAACTTGTTACCTTCCTTAGACGAGTTATACCCTACAAATATCCTCTTGAGGTAACATCGAGCCCGTCTTAATGCCACTCGTGCGAAATTCTGAGTGTCTACCTAGTGTCTTCTGACACTTACAGTTTATGAAAATAAAATATAATGCCTCAGAATTGAAATCGTAGATCGAATCGCTGAAGAGAAGAACAAAATAGCAAAAAGAATACAAACAATTGCTTATTATTCATCTGCATGACGAGAGTGATTCGAAACAAACTGCCACGGCTGTGATTCACTATGCGAATAGGCAAGCAATCTCTTTGCTTCACTTCACCTTTACATTATTCATCTACCACTTTTCATAGATCACCTGAAATCTACTTGATTTATTCTGCGAATTCGAACAGTTTTAATAAAAACTGAATCTGTAGACTGAGATCTGCTAATTTGTAAATGCTATATTCATGGGCTTCTACCTATTGTACTGACGCTTATACTGGTTACAAATAAGCATTTCTGCGCTAAAATCTAGTAATAAATCGTTTTACAAAAGTTTGAAAAATGGGATTTTGCGCCAAACGGGTGACTACTGCAATGGAGCTAGTTGAGAAGAATTCTTACAACGCTGTTAAGGTAATCGTCTCGATTACCACGGTTAGCACGCCGAACGAAGTACCTTCACCGAAAAAAACCGACCACAAGCTTGCTATAATAGCTTTATTTTAACATTATGCAATCCACAAACGAGTTCGACAATATGATCTCCATCGCTATAAGTAAGATCACTCCAACATCTGTTTTTGTTGATCATCTCGAGAAGACGACAAATGAACTATACACCTATAATAACTTTGCGTTTACGGCCAAACAAGATTAGAAACATCTGAAGGAGGAGCTGATCGACTCAGAACAAACTCTAGGTGAACGAGTCCTAAATTGAAAAAAAAGTTTTAAGCATACCTGTGTTCCAAAGCTGAGCAAGAACATTCTGTACGAAGAATTTTCGCAGAAGGAAGCACTGTAAAAAAAGGTGCTGATTTTATCGCTTAGATTGCTCAGAACAACAAAATCAGAGTGAAATGCTATTCAATTAGCTTTGAAGTCGAAGCGGAAGCAGACATCACAATCATATCTCAACGAATAAAAATGCTTACATCTCCAAGTTTATAACTATGTTTGAACAAAATAAAAGGCCATTCACCAAACAAATGCTCATCGTCTTTGTTAGTTGAATGAGTGGTTTGATTCCCAAATATGAGGCAAAACGCTTAGAGGATTTATTTTGGTCTGCAAAATTTAGTGAACCTCGTGTCTACCGTAATATTTATACTGATTTTTGTATGGCGTTCATTGACTACCAATCCTCCGATTTCTGATTGTTAATATGCACATAATGTGCGTAATGATAAAGCATAGAAGATAATGATGCCCATTTCGTCTACATCGTTCATATTGTTTTACAACCTCTTCTACAAACTCAGTCACTTCGAAAAGAGACTGTACATGCAAACTGCATTCTACAAGGATGAGAAGCAACTTTTTTGGGAAGGAAGGACAACATCTAACTGTGTCATCAAAATACCCGAGGAAACTTGTGTGAAGCAAGTTTCAGAAGAGAAATACACTCTGCATGTCATCTGTGTGAACAACCACATGTCACTCCTGTGGACACAAAACTAGATGAATCGTGTTTTCGAAAGACAGTACTTAGAATATATCGTTGGCACCAATCATCCTGAATTTTGAAAAGTGCTATGAAGATCCTTCCGGAAGAAAACCAATATCGATGAGGATGTTCAAGCTATCAATTCCTGATACTGTCAAATATTGTCAAATTAAGAAAAACGACTAGATTCAAGCACCCGGTCATTATAATAGGATGATTTTGTCATGGGTCGTGTTTGCAAATGTTACTGCCTTTGTTGATAACTGGAATCCCACCAGATTCAACATTCCTATCAAACCCAACAAAAATACATCGCCAAAAAATGTGTGCTAGATTGTGCCACCTGGATTGCAAGAATGCAGAATGCAGTAATGATAAAAATAATTACCATGCCATTATCAGAATTTCCATGTTTGAGAAATCGGGGTGACGAAGCCAATGGCACACCGTTCATGGCGTAATTAACATATTATGTGGGAATGTGACTGAACTTAGATGAGATTCAACAGTGTATTTATGGAAAATTAGGATCAATACCATCGATAAAACTACAAAAGCCACAGTCCATTTCCTTCCTTTTTTCTCCACCCTGAACTTACAAGGATATCAACACGGTCAATCGGAACTAGCAAATCATCTGCGTTCCTCAATGTTCGTGATGGCAATAGTGGCCTACTGCTTTACAAGAAGAAGAGAAACCCGATTTTGGTGCTGCATTTCAAGATTCATCAACTGACTAGTCTGCTACCTAGCGTTATCTGCGGTAGCTTAATGATCATTATCCTGTCGTGGTCACCAAGTGGTTCGATTGCATAGGAGCCAGAACGGGCTTTCCATATATGCACAAGTAAACGATACGGCTATGGATAGCGAAATATAGAGAGGAAACACCCAGAGATGAAGTGCCTTTGGCTAATGAGTGACAAACATATGGGTTCAACGCAGTCAGCATCAAAAAGACTACAGTCTCTAGTGAAGGACTTGTCTAAACTCATCCACTGATGCCCACAAAATTTGAAATTTGTTCAAACCCGAAATTCCAAGTGGGGAAAAATAATCATCCAAAAGGATCAAAAAGCAATCTGGGCAAGTAAGCTATCCTTTCGTTGACCAAGATAAAAGTTATTTTAGGTCATGAGTAATCCTATTGTAAGGTCGGAGGCTCAAAACAGTTGCTTATGCGAGTTCTTAAGATGCTGGCACCGACCTTATCTTGAATATAGGATGAAAAAGTCAAATACAAACTTTATTCGCGAAGTCGCAAAAGAAACCACAGACACAAACTTGGATGCTTGTATAAAACATGGTCTTTCAAGGTTAGAACTAGAAGCGCATCGCCTTGGAGCAAGATGGAAAGCCCGCGCTAGATTGTCTCAGTACCTTCTTTTATACGAGAGCAAAACAATGGTCAGGTGCTATTAAAGCAATGACTTTGAAAGATGTTGCTTGGTGGGTATTATTGTCAAAATTAATAAAATTAAAAATAGATTGACTGGTGCTTCTGCCGATAAAGTGCAGTATTTCTATGCTTGCTATTGTGCATAATAAGTGCAGATTTTGCCTGCAACATCATGACAGCAAATGCGTTACAGTATGCGTAAATATCCCTTCACATCAAGAAGGCAAGAAGATTTACGTGATGAAACCAGACCAGATTTTGAGCTTAACTAAAATATTTGGTAGCTTTGATGAATTAATCCGTTTTGGTAGTGAAAATGTTTTCCCATAGTAAAAGGGGCGTAATGGCGATTACTTGTAACTGAAGTATAACAGTTCTTCACCATTGCTGTACATGTAATGTTTCAGGGAAGCGCAACGACCAATGAAGAAAGCAATCGTTTATCGCTCACATCTGCACAGCACGAATGTTTTTGATAGAACGCTGCCAAGGCTATGACTCACTTCTTTGTCTTCGAAGAGGCGAGCCACGCATTGTCTCAGCTCACACTATTCGCAATCATGTTTGTACTCCTTCTGTACTTCTGCCTAATCTAAACTGTGAACTCTGGCCAAGCTAATCTGATTCTTCCATTCCGCGAACCCTGAGGTCTGGTGATCTCTAAATGCTGAATTTGGCTAAGCTAATTGTCACGCTCGCTACGATGATGTAAATCCCTCATTTCTTCATTCTCTCAAGACACGTTGTTGCTTCATTCATCATATTCATATAGAGACAGGCCTCCCTGCTTAAAGCGCTTCTGGCTGTTCTTGCAGTGATGTGAAATGTAATTCACATTACGAGAAACCTACGGACAAGTTGAAAGTTTGCTCTTCATCCTTAACATGAGCCAAATAATCGATGCGGACAGAAGATACCATATTTGCTTGGTCTCGGTCATAGTATACCTCTGAGACAGACTGTCACAGAGCGATCTCATAATATCATGTCTAGAAGTAAGCAATTGCGCGAGCCATGGGAAAGTGTGCAGCTTGATCGCATATCACACAGCACTTAGCAACAGGAAACGGTACTTCAAAAAGGGCTTGAGAGGGGTTCAACAGTATTGCTGAAACAGGTATTCATGGCGATGAATGCGCGAATTCCGCAGGCTCGGCACATCTACATCGAGGACATCTACCAATTGAAACCTTAGGCTCGCTGCTCACGATTGGCCAACGTTACCAGATTCGGAGCGCAAAGCATCATGAACGTCTTTCAGAAAACAAGAGTCATTTCGTTGCGTAGCCTCGTCACCACCTTCCAAGCTCATTCGGCACTTATCGAACTTCCCGTTGTGCTATGAGAACTCACTAGTAAGCGATGTACCGTAGGCAGACATCTATTGCTAGATACCATGAATTGCCAAATTCCCTCCTACCAGTCATGTCGAACCTCTCCATTAGGGTAACGTTCGCTGAAGGTGGGAGTGAGGGGGGGGGAGAGAGAGAAGGATGTGGTAATCGCATTGACAATCCGCCTCTTAGCGGTGTAACCGCAGAGACAGACAGTTACTCCCCAACATCTCCCAAATCCTCGTCATTTATGTTTATAAACATCAACGGAGAGACATCAAGGCCGTACATTCTCACTATAATGAGTTCGAGCAGAGAGTGTGCCAATTCCTCGTCACGACCTTGATCAGCAAAGGGATTGTACCAACCGGCATTGTGACATTCTGCTTTTACAAAGAGCAACAGCGACGCCTTGCAGGATTTGCCGCACGATCAGGACTCCGCTTGTCAACAGTGGATGCAGTTCAAGGCTGCGAAAAAGAAGTAGCTGTGATACTGACCACCAAAACAAACTTCGACCCTGAGGGCGTAGAATTCCTCGACGACAGAAGACGTATGAACGTTGCACTGACGCGATGCCGTTAGGGGCAATTTCTAATCGGCCATTACCAGTCCTTGGAGCCATTACCCTTCTGGCGAACGGTACTACAGTAGGCCAACGAGCTCCACGCTGTCGTTCCTGCTACCAGCCTAGGACTGCGGCTAGGGGTCTAAAGAAAGGTGAGTTATAGATCAAGACAGATACCCTTCTTGAAAGTTCCTTGGGACTTTTCGGTAAAAAGGGAAAGTTTAAGGGAGAATAGCTGATGCAGTTGTTTACAGAAGAGGACGTCGCGGTCGGAGAAGCTGAGATCGAGCTGATACGGGGCGGGCAAATTAAAGAGTCGAGAGGAAGCAAGCGAGGAGACGCCACCATCTGGAGCGGCACGCTCAATACCCAACAGTCCACCACTGCTGCTCATTATTCCTACATATTACTCGTTTTCCGACAATGAACCCGCTTTACTCATTATTTGCTTACTCTCCCAATAAACAGTCATACTTTACTGTGTTCTGTTACGGCAAGGGCCCAACACTTACTAGTAGCAGCGAGTGGTTAGATACAATGCGCTGCTACCAGTATACAATGGTTCTACTTAGCTAATGCCGAGCTTGCGCTCGGCATTACATAAGTAGAGGCAGCGATCGCTTTGCTTTTCACTCATATTGTTGCTTTTCAGTGCTTTATCAATGCGCTTTCATTCAATATGTTTTCGTTTTTCTCTGAATGCGTAAGTCAAAGGCTCTACTCAAACAGTTTTGCACCACGTAATATATTCTTGAGAATTCTTTGCTTTAAATGTAACTGTAAGTGTAAGAAAACCACAATACACTTCTTGCGGTCCTCGTTATCCCCAGGAGGTTGTTTGCACAAAAAGTATTCGCGCTCTTGTATCACTATTTGTCATCATTACCTGGATTTTGCGCCTATTTTTCGCCACGTCTTTTACCTGATTGAAAGAAACTGCATATATTTGATTTACTTAATTCGTACATTGCCTTGATTATCAATGTACTGGGCTCAATTAACCAGTTTTGAGGTAAATGACTGTGCAAGTTCGTGTTTGTGTGTGTTTTTTCTGGTGGTTATTCATACTACACAGCCCAGCGTGAGCATTCAAACCACTTTATGTTCTACCGCAACAAACTTGCAAACAAAATCCTTCACAAAGGACGGCAGTAAGCAGTTTCGGAGCGAGGTTTGTAAAATAAAATGTCTCACTTAAGCCTTGTCATAAAAAGTATGCAACGACATTGGGGCAAGAATAACAGGATAAGGAGGATTACGACGGCGGTAGAGAACCATACTTATATGTCCTTGATTTTCTTTTTAAAAGAGGCTCGGCAAAACCGAAAATCCTGAACTCTAATGTGATAAGATTGCTTGCTCCCAAACATGAAGCAAAAGCAAGTCCGGTGCGCAAGCCAATTTCGTACGCCCTCTTGACATTGGAGGAGTGCCGTTATTATAAACATGAGGATTCCGCGACTTTGCTCTCCAACTTTGGCGAGACTTGTTTCACCTGTCTAAATCCAAAACGAAGTGCTTTGGAAAACGTTTTCGCGAGCTATAAGGTGGATTTTGATCAGTGCATTGGATGCCCAGATGGGTAGGAATTTTTTCCAGTCCAAGGATTTACCGAGCCATTAATTTTGAATCTTCATGATATGAAGGTTCGCAATGACGATAAGCTCGGCTGCTCATTTCACGCACTGCGCCCCGCACTAAAATATAATAGGTTGTTTACCCAGAATTCGAGGTTATTCGTTCTTGTTTATGTCTTTGTCTTTGTCTTTTTAGTCTTAGGGCCTATTGTTGTTGTTTTTTCATAAGAAAAAACCGTTTTTCCTTCCTGTTTTTGTCTTTCAGACGTAAGTCCTGAACATATTCATACCATTGGACTCCTCCTGTTGCAGAAGCATTATGAGCTACGTTTAAGTTTTTGATTTGGCAGATGGTATATATTTGTACTCCTTATGCACAACAATTTATACATCATTTGACAGTGAAGATTTGACACTTGGTATATGCACTTGCACATATAATTAAATCAATGAACAGTTTGACGCGCATCAACGCGATTCAACATCTTAGATCTAATGCCGACAGGGGTCTGCATTACGTCAACGAAGCGGTTGCGAACGCGGCGCACCGTCCTTTGCCGCACATTAGGGGCACTAATGTAGAAGTCCAGACGAATATTCAAGGCATATTACATGCACTAAGCACAGCTGCTTCAGCATCAATCGCCGAGCGGTGAACCATTTGGAAAACAAGGAAAAGTCTCAGCAACATTTATCCGCACAAGCGCTTGTATCGGACGACGCATTCTGAAAAACTGCCAGCATAGGTAAATAAAGAACTCTATAAATAATGCAGAAAAACGAGAGTAAGAAGTTCTGAAACCATTGACATAATCCATAATTTCCTGTATACTTCTTGAAAAATCTTTGTTCAGCACAACGAATGCAACTGGCCTGCAAAGCACAAGAAATGAGAGCAGAGAGATCAATTTTGATATTGATTCATTTTTATTCCTCTTTCGTTATAGCAACTTTTGTTTTATTGAGGTAATCCGTAATGGGTACTTTGATTTTTGGATATTTTTTGAGGTTCCTTTCTGATCAACTATGAACAACTAGCAGTTTGAACGCCTTTGGATAAAGTGGACTTCGCGGGTGATCCTAAGAGCATCTTGCAGCACCTCACCCACACTCCTTGGAGCGGCGTTTCGAAGAACTCATGCGGACTTTTCTTCATCCGAATTCGCCATCCGAATTTGTGTGAGTACCCCAGAGTCCCTGAACATGTGACATATCAATCGAAAGAGCTTCCCAAGCTCTTTCTAATGATTACTTGAATGTACTAAAATTCTCCATTAGCTTGTATAAAGGAGCACTTTATTCGAAAGTTTGATGTTTGACGCAGATTTTTAGGCTAGAAATCATGTTTTGGCTTACAGTTTTTTGAAAATGAGAAATGGTAAATTGCGTTCATATGGATAGAGCTTAAGAAGCTCTATCAGATAACAACTGTCGAGGGTGAGCTCATTTGATTACCTTAAGAGAATAAATAATATGTCTCCTATTACCCAAGGCTATATCTTCTGTTCTAAAGCGTCAAGACCACCAGCTTCATGGATTTGGTGACAGTCCCATCACCATTGCTGCGCAGATATCTTTGGTAGGCTCACTTGTTTTACTGCGACGATGCTGCTCAAAGTTTAAAATTATTGAAGTGATGAGCTTTGATTTTAAGCGCTTATAAAAGTAACGCTATGTGACGGTGCCCATCTATGGACCTCGACCAGGTTTTGTTATATACTAAAGTCTGTCAAAACTTGGACTTCCACTTAGATTTTCTGTTTGAGAAAACTGCATTTATTCTTTTGGTGCCCCATAGTGATCATAAAATTTATTGTCCCCTCTCGCCCTAATTCTGAGTAGTTACGACTTCTATCATTGCCGAATACTATAACGTATTAGCTTCAGAGAAAATGAAGGGAACCTTCATTAAAAATACCTTCAGTGATACTACAGTGACATGCTTCAATGAGAAATTAGCTCTAATCTGATTCTTCCCTTTTCTTAGCTGACGATTTTTCATTACGAATAACAGCTTACCTCTTTCTTGCTTCTTGATCTGCAATTGCAACCACTGCGGCTTCGTTGACGCTTGGGTGTGTAACTAGCAAAATTTCGAGTTCCAATGGAATTACCTAAATTGCGTTCTAGATAAGAAAAGAGACAGTATGTGTTAAGTTTGAATGAGGGACGAACATACTTGGAGGCCATGCACTTTGATCATATTCTCAAATCAATCTGGTTCCATTTCATCACTTCCTTGATGCTTGGGTTAGCTTGTTTGGGCTTGAAACTTTTGCATTGTGCAATCTCTTCTATCGGGGTTCTGTTCTCTCCCCAGAGTTTGGTTGGGCGGTTTTATCAATATTGTTACCAATACGCCTGCTCCCAACATCTACAGTTGCTTATGTTTGAATAAGAGCATTTTGCTAAGAGCAGGGGGCGTGAGACAGACTTCATCGAACCTCTATACCTGTGATGACTTCATATTTGTCTAAACAAGCTCGCTCCTTCTCTATCCCCAAAAAAAATTTTGCGTGCTGACTTGAGCTAATTCAGTGGGGTGTTCGCCTGTTTTTTTGTTGCTGTTGTTCAATGTGATGCTTCGTTTCGGTGTCAAATGGGCATTCGTTGTGCGTATTAAATAAATAAATAAATAATCAACAAGATAAACATTCTCAGCATCGTCATAGTAGCGGATATCTCCTGCAATTCTTTTTTTACCCTGGGGAAAAACCAAAAAAATGTTGCTTGCCAGTTTCTTCATGCCCCTCGGATTTGTTCTCTGGTCGGTCCGTCATTGTTCAGGTAAGGTGACATTACACTAACTCCTTTCACATAGATAATTCCTTTTTGCCTAGGTCCGAGTATACATCCAGTGATAAGGTCAATAAGATCTGGAGAGTAAAAATAGTTTCTCGCACTATTTGTTGAAATAATATCGAATAGCTCTTCCGAAACAGCTGCGCTCCCGCTGATTGCGGTACGCATACTAACCATACGTATTCGTGATTTTCCGCTTCATTTAACATCATTTGCATAATCATAGGGCTGAGATAGATTTTTCGGACCTTAATGGCTGATAAGGAGATTGTAGAATTCTGAAGAAAAATGCATTTCAACAATTAGGACCATGCTGTAGTACTCGCGGATGGATGTCGTGAATACTGTGCCATGTCATAACTTTGAATAAACACAGATAATCGATAATAGTACGATGAATATAGTTTTTTTTATTTGTTTTATTTTTTTTATCCTTGCGTTCTTCCCTAGTACGGGGTCCGCTGCTCTTTATTTCATTCTCCTCTTTATTTAATACGTTCAAGCCCTTAAAGAAAAAACAATGAAGTATTCATATGTTATAAAAACACAACAAGAATCAGCGAATTATTATGATCACTATACTCTTGTGAGTCTTCTCCATTCTTCGTAGTCTTCAGTTTGAGTCATTTAAGTCAAGTTCGTTTGAATCTGCATTAACTTTATCGATCCATCTTAGCTTCGGTCTTCCTCTGGGTCTTTTTCCAGGGACTTCCACAGACATTGCTAATCTAGCGACGTCATCATCCTGCTTTGTTCTCACATGTCCGTACCAACGAAGTCGCTTCTCTTGTATTTTCTTCACGATTGGTGCGACTTTCATTGTGGCCCTTATGGTATCGTTGGTGACATGATCCATCATAGTCACGCCTGTCGTCCATCTCAGCATGCGTGTTTCCATCACGCTAAGCCTTCGCTCTTCATTTCGCGTACAGGGCCAACATTCGCGCTGTATAGCGCAGCCGGGCGGACTACGGTACGGTATAACTGGGATCTTAGCTTGATTGGCATCCTTTTATCGCGTAGGATCCCGGTAATGTTTTTCCATCTC